GTGGCTCGGCCTTCACCGAGCCACCTCAGGGTGGCTCGGCTTGGGCCGAGCCACCCTGGGGTGGTTCGGTTTCGGCCGAGTCCCCGGGTGTTTGTCCGTTTCGTCCTTTGTTTCCGGTTCTGGTTCTCTTGTGTGGTTGATTGACTTGGCAACGACTCTTTGACTTGATTCCAGATTTGGCAGTGAGTCGGGTTCCTGATATGGCAGTAAACCAACTTCTGAATTTGAGTCCGGAATTGATGTTGATTTGATCGTGATTCATCCGAGTTCGCTCTTGTTTAGATGACTCGGTGATTCACCTAAACATTGGTTTGATTCCGCGTGCGAGTGGATGCATTCCAATGCTTGGGTGCGATTTGTCGCCTCGTTAACCTGCTCCGTTGCGTATAGCTTGGCTTCAGCGTTGGCGGTCTTGTTTGGATACGTCGCCTGGTGGTCCGTTTGTTAAATCGGCGTCGAGCTGTGCTAAGGGACCTATAGGCAATTTTATACGCCTACAATAAGTTGTATTCATAATCGGCATCTGTCATACTTAGGCTATCAAGTAATTGTCTCAGTGCAACGGACTACTCTGTAGGTATCCTGAACTGGCTTCAGCGTTGGCGGTCTTGTTTGGATACGTCGCCTGGTGGTCCGTTTGTTAAATCGGCGTCGAGCTGTGCTAAGGGACCTATAGGCAATTTTATACGCCTACAATAAGTTGTATTCATAATCGGCATCTGTCATACTTAGGCTATCAAGTAATTGTCTCAGTGCAACGGACTACTCTGTAGGTATCCTGAACTATGTACACGTCTCATTAGTCTCATCACGATCTTAGTGCATAACATGAGTGTGGGACGGACTACCAAATAGATATCCTAGAAATACGGCTCACGAGCCTCATCGCATCCTAGTGCAGGACGGACGGCTAGATCAAGCCTCCTAAAATCCGACTCAATGGCCTGTACATGTGGAATATCGACGCACTACCTCATATAGTACTGAACTGAGCTCATCAACGATATTCACCTCATGTATAAACTATGTATATCTGGTGTGTCGACGTACTATTCCATATAGTACTAAGCTGTGCTCATCAACGACATCCAACATGTATATGAATTATATCTAATTCAAATATGATCAAATCAAAATTTATCATAATCCCCTTGGGATTCTTAAATATATAACATAATATATTCATGACTATACGTATAACATCAAGTGGCTTAAAACTCCGCGAACGCACCTCAAAACGGCGCAACACAGCTCCACAAAACCATATCTTTCTCTAGGAAAACTATTTTTACAAATGGTTTTCTGTTTTGAAAACTAGATTCATACATCTTTCAAATGACATAAGTTTGGTTCAGTTTGGAGTTCATTTGTTATCCCGAATCTCCAGTTAAATATTATATATGTGCAGCCATTTTTCTGCAGGACATGTTGTTAGTAAACATAACATATCTTTCTCTATACAAAGTCTTTTTAAGAAAGGTTTTCTGTTTTAGAAACTAGATACATATATATTTCATGTAAAACTAGTTTGGTTAAATTTAGACTTTGTTTGCTATCTTAAACTCTCAATTAATTAAAAATTATATAAGTGCTGCAGTTTTCTGCAGAAAAACATATATATAGTACATCACTTAAATTTTTCATATATGAATAAAAATTATGAAAAACCCTAATGATCATGATTATGATACTATCATAAATAGCAAGAAAAAATTATTAATCTAGTATTTGTTTTAAGGTTTACTATCAAAAATCTGACTTTTAACACCTCAGGTTAAGATTAAAACATGAAAACACGTATTCAACATCATATTAATCATCTATACTAGATATTTAACTATAGGGATAGGTTGGGATGAAGATAATCTTGCCTTAATCTATGCAAGTCTCTAAAATAAACAGCAAGCAATCCATGAGCACAAACCACCCGTTCTCCCTCGTCACACGTCGATGATCTCGCCCTTTTGTCGATATTTGCTTCACAAAGCTCTCAAAACTCATAAGAATAAGATCTAGGGTTTTTGAGGGGAGAGGGTGGCTGCTAGAATTCATAGATATGATAAAAGAAGGGATTTGTTTATGAAAAATATAGTTATTTATAGAGGCAAACCCGAAACAAACTTGTTTGACCCAAACTAGAAAACCTTGTCTGACTAGGAAAATAACCTTCGGTATTTTGGCAATAACTTTCGCGTCCGATCTCGGAATGAAATGATATAAGATTTTTTGGAAATCCCTTGAAAAGACCTAAAACTTTCATATTTTGAGTTTTCCTAGATTCTAAGTGTATTATTGTGTAAAATCTATAAACTCTTAATTGATCATTTTTCCCAGATTTTTTCTCGTGCATGTTTTGTGCATTTGCACTCATATATTCATATATATGTTGCATGTTTTGTGCATTTGCACTCATATATTCATATATATGTATCGGATTGATCTCAAATCAATTCCTAGTATACTCAAATATCAATAAAACTCATATATTCATATATATGTATCGGATTGATCTCAAATCAATTCCTAGTATACTCAAATATCAATAAATGTTATTTATCATAATATAATATGTTTATTATTATATCTCACAACATTCAGTATTACGAGGTTTTACATTCTTCCCCCCCTTAAAAGAATTTTGTCCCCGAAATTCCGCATTCGTATCTTAGAGATTGATAATGCCAAAAAAGCACATTGATGGAATAATCCAGACAAAAAAACCCTCACATACACATCTCGCATCATTAGTCTCCAGATATGAACATAGCAATATCTACATTTAACAATCTAAGATGCCAATATTTCCACTTAACCCCTAACTAAACAGAACTAGTACGTCGGGTGAAAAATCCAAACAAGGAACCCCCCATATATATACCATGTATTCCGAATGATTAGAAGTTAAGTGTCAATACCTCCATTCTAGCGTTAAATGTAAATATAACCATACAAATAATCACATACATAAATCAATCCACCTTCTCAATAGGTGCAGGTAGTTGCGATGCATAACATCTTCGCACTCCCGAGAATCATCCTCAATGTCTATACTTAATAGTCTAAAATGCAAATACCCCCACTTAACCCCTAACTAAATGGAACAAGTACATCGAGCAAAAAATCCAAATAAGAAACCCCTCATATATATACCATATGTTCCGAGTACTTAGGAGTTAAGTGTTAATACCATCATTTTAGCGTTAAGTATAAACATTACCATATAGGTAGCCACAAATCATAAACAAGTCATACTAAATTTAATTTACCTGCTCAAACATGTGTGGGTAGTCGCGACGTATATCCTCTTCGCGTTCCTAAGAAGCCTCCTCAGCTCCTCTCCGATTCCACTGAAATTTAACTAAAGGTATCACTTTGTTTCTCAACTTCTTATCCTCCTTGGCAAGAATACATACAAGAATCTCAATAGTAGTC